CCCTTTGGAAATGGGTTGGTCTGTGGATGCTGCTGGAGCCAAGGCTATGGCTAATTAAACCACGACACATCCCTTCAACATCGCTGCACTGGCTTTCATTTGGGGAGAGGAGGGGGCTTTCAGGCAGCTGCTGCTGGGAGCGGGGAGGGAGAGAGTGTAGAGCCGTCAAGACTCATCTCTCATCCCACTTCTCTCCCTGCAAAGGTCATAGTCCCAGCCTAGCTTTTGTGGCAGACCTTTAAGAAATCCATTTTGTCCATGTCTGGGAACCCTGACCTATTTTGCTTTGCCATTTCCCACCGCTCCCAGGGGTAGCTGTCGTGGGCTGAACCTGCTGTGGTCAGGTGTGCTGCCTGCAGCCCCTGCCCGCATCCTTACCTCTACCATCTGGCCCTTTAATAACCACATGGTGTTATGCCACAGAGAGTTTAATTCTCTACTATATTTCAGCTATAATTAGATTTGTATTTTTCTTTTAACGAGCTGCTTTTAATGAGCCTCCACTTACTGCAAACTTTCATTTCCTGATACGCCATCAAATCCTCTTGTCTGAAATCACTTACAACACACCCCACCGCTTTGCAGAAATTTTGTGGGTTTCCAGAACAATGTAGCCAACTTTCTGACAGTTTTTTATTTTTTTACCCAAATATTTTCCCCAAGAGAAGCAGAGGATCTGACAGATCCCTTTTGTGGCTCACTCTGCAGAGTTTTGGAGTTTATCACATGGGAACGAGGGTGTGCGATGGGGTGCCTTGGCTGATCTGAGGACACCGAGCAAGAGCAGGCAGGTGCCTGGAAGCGCTGCTTCCGTGCCGGGGCTGATGCTGAGAACTGCTGTGCAGCCTGTGGTTTCAGCCGTGGCTTCTCGAAGAGCTCTTGTCCGCTTTGCAAGGCGCTGTGATTTGGGCTGCCTGAGGAACAGCCGTGGTTGAGAAGAGAAGGGAGCTTTCGGGCTGTCACATGTGTGGTTGGAGCCTTTGGCCTGGGCCGTGGCGGCGTGGGTCTTTGCAGGTAGGGAAGGGATGGATCCCCATGGTGCCGGGGAAGGTCCATCCCCTTCCCAGGTGCAGATGGTCCACACTGGCCGTTTCCTGGCCACCCTCAGGCGTGGCTGGAGTAACCCCTAGGTTAAGACCCTGACACGGGCGCACTGATGTCAACGTGTGGAGCCCAGAGCCTGCTCCCCAGCCGGGAGAGTGCTCGGCCATCTGGCTGGCAATGGTGGCTTTTTTTTTGGCTATATCCCAGTGTTCCCTGTGCTGCTGCTTTTCCCTCTATGGGAAAAGATGTCCAGCTGTGGGGAGGCGGAGCATGAGTGGAGTCCACAGCACAGGGTTGCTTCATCTGTTGAAACTCACACCCCTTAAATTAAATGTGTTATCTCAGACTGGCCGTTAGGTGCTTAAGTGTTCTCTTGGACTGCATCCTGTGGCCCAAGCATTGCTAAAGGTACCATCAGTGGAAGTGGAGATGATCTGGAGAAGGAATTGGGTGCCTGCCCTCTTCTCGGACCACCAGACCACTGTCTGTGGGAGGATGGTGGTGTGCTCGCCTCTGGTGCAAGCCAATTCCTCTCGGTCCCAGGTGCATTTTCGTCCTAGTATGAGACTCGCTTCATTTCCTCCTTGCTTCAACAGGGGATGCTTTAGCTGCAGGAATAAAAAATACAAAGATTTGGAGATTCAGAGCTGAGCAGTGAAAAAATGATAGGCGTTTTTTGACAACCGCTCCCTCTCCCGTGCCTGTGCTGCCCCGCAGCTGCCATGCACGGCGTGCGCTCTCCCTCCTCACAGGGAGCCGGTGGCCCCAGGAGGAGCCTGGAGGAATCTGTTATTTCCTCTTTTGGCTGAGCAGTTCCTCAAACTTACTGGCAGGGCTCAGACGTCTCCTCCTGCCTCGCACCCGTCGGGAGAGCCGGAGGCGCAGGCCGTATGTCAGCTATACCTGCTGGCTGCGGTGATATTCAAAAGTGCTTTCTTGGATCTGCTACTTTCTAATTAAAGTTTGCCATGGCCTGAACGGCTCACAGATGGGTTGGGACGCATTAAAAGATTAGTGATCTCTAAAAGTGCCTATGTGGACATGCTCCCTTCTGCTTTCCATCTCCCAAGGGGGTGGTTGGCATTCAAGCCAGCTTTGGGGCTGGGTGCATTTTCACTGCATGTGTGGTGGGGACATGGTGAACGTGCTCATTGAGCAGCGCTTGTGCTCCTGGATGTTTCTTCTGTGAGTGGGAGCGAAGCTTGCGCTGAGACATACACCTTGGGCTGCAGTGTCCCAGCACGGGCAGACACTTGGTGCTGGAGGGGATGGCGTGGTGTATTTTCGCATGGAGCTGCTGCAGCTCGAGGCCTAGATACCGTGAAACTGGGAGCTGTGGCAATGCGGTAAAGACAGTAAGAAAGTAGAAGAGCCAAGACAACAAGCGTCTCGGCACTGTTGCCTCTGAGGGCAAGTCAGCTGGTTGGTGGCTGCCCACCTCTACTGGGCTTTCTCTAGTTGGAGCCTGGACTTACGTGGTGGTTTCAGCTCAGGACAGCTTGTCCTGTGTGAAGGGAGGAGAGGAATGAGTCTCAAAGCCACCTTCCCAGGAAAGCATGGTGGCTGACAGCTGGAAAGCAGCTCATGCTGTGCCGGTGCCCTCAGCAGCTTGTCCTGTGCCTGCTGGGACAGCCGGAGCCACGTGGCATATTCATTTGCAACCGGAGTGCTTGGGCTCTCTAGGAAAGTTCAGCAAAGGGTATCTTGGTGGCGCATGTCTGAGCACCATGCAGTCCTCTGTTTTTTGCCCTCTTGAGCACTTTGCATCTCTCACCCGGGCCAGGAGGACTGCACATGTCCCGTTGGGCCGACTCTGACTGGAGATGGTCAGGGTTGGCAGTATTACTGCCTGCTCTGCCGTGCTTACTGGCTCATCTGGCTGCACGGTGCAGGGATGGCCGGTGCACAAGTCATTTTGAGAACAGTCATTCTGAGGCATCTCCTCCGACCACAGCATCGCAAGATAAAGCCAAAGGTGGAGAGCAGCCTTGCTGCTCACCCCTCGCTCCTCCACCGCTCCCTGCAGCACGGCTCCAGGGGCAGGTAGCAGCAGGGAGCGGGGCTGGAGCTGCAGTTCCCTTTAAGGGTTTCCAATAAAATCATTATTTCTAGCCTCAAGCCCTCCCCAGGAGGCTCGTTCGAGGCAGGTCCTCATCCTCCATGCCTCAAAAGCACCGACCAGGGCCGGGTGCCTGGGGCAGGACAGGGCTGCGCTTGCGTGGCAGGGGATGTTACGCAGCTCTCCTCCCTCTCCCCGTCCCTCCGCGGCCTGAGCCTGCCCCTGTCTCGCAGGAAGCCTTCTGCTGGGGCGGTTTCTGCCTGGGTCGCGGCACTGCAGAGTCTCGTGTGGACGGGGACGGCTGCGTTTCTCGCTGTGACTCACCCTCCTCCTCCCCCCTCTTCTTCCTCAGCAACAGTTGGAGGAAGAAGCAGCCAAACCACCAGAGCCTGAAAAACCCATCTCCCCCCCTCCTATCGAGTCCAAACATCGCAGCTTGGTGCAGATCATCTACGACGAGAACAGGGTGAGTCTGGAAACGATGGAAGTACAAACATGCGATCGTGCCTTGTCACCCTGGCTGGGGATGGGGAGGTTGGTAAGGGGTAGGTGGGGGATTCACCTGGGTGAGACCCCTGGGGCGGAGGCCATGGGGGGTGGATAGATGGAGCCCAGTCGGGGATGGTGACGACGATTTGATGCATTCAGGAGATGCTTCAGAGCCCTGTCTGTTAAATAGCTTGTTTCATCCTCTCCCCTGGGAATGAATCTGGTCAAAAGCTGCCTCAAAGGATGGGCTTGGCATGGTGGGGTGGGCTGCATGGATGGAGGGGGATGTCTCTGATGCTCCAATACTGGCAGTTCAGCTACAAGCTCTCCAGGCTGCCCCGAGCCCCACCGGCTGGAGCAGAAAGGACGTGGATGCAACCATGGCTGGATTTGTAGATATTTGACGCTGTAAATAGCATTAGCAAAGGTCAGGCTGGGATTCCTGGCTTTGGGTTCTTGCC